AGGTGCCCTTGACCGGGAATCGAACCCGGGACCCTTCAGTCCGCAGGCCGACGCTCTATCCTCTGAGCCACACCGGCCAGGGCTCTCTCTGTCTCATCATGGATGTTTCTATCTCTCTCTCCCTCTCTCTCCCTCCCTCTCTGAAATCAATCCGTCATTATATATCCTATATAATAAAAGCGTTGTGTGCAAATTGTCCCTGGACCAGGAGTTCGTCCGGGAGTTCGACCGAGGAGCGGGGCCAACCAGGGGAAGGGAGAGAGGGCCCGGCTGGCAGCCATCAGCCGCTAGGAACCCTAGCAGTGCACGAATTTCGTGCACATGTGTGTGTGTGTGTACACATATATATGTATTTATTTTTTAAAATATATTCTATCGGCCCTAACCTGTTTGGCTCAGTGGATAGAGCATCAGCCTGCGGACTGAAGGGTCCCGGGTTCGATTCCCGGTCGAGGGCATGTACCTTGGTTGCGGGCACATCCCCAGTGGGGGGCGTGCAGGAGGCGGCTGATCGATGTTTCTCTCTCATCATGGATGTTTCTAACTCTCTATCCCTCTCCCTTCCTCTCTAATAAACCAATAAAATATATTTTTTAAAATAAACAAATAAAATAAAATAAAAACAGGTCCACAGACTGTGGAAGACAAAGAAGTAAACACAATCCACCCCCCCCCAAAAAATAAATTATTTTAAATAAAAATTAAAATGGTGCAGGGGGTGGGGGGGAGATAGAGGAGCGTGAGGAAGGCCAAGGCGTCAGCCCGCACAGGCAGGTGGCTCGTACCTGGAAGTTCCCCTGGTGGGACTCGAACAGCCCCGCGAAGGTGGCCTTGGGGTCCGGGACACTGGGCATGAGCAGCCTTTTCACTCTGAAAGGGACACGGAGGGGGCACGGGGTCAGACGCGGTGACTTCCCAGAGCAGGGGGGCTGCCCCCCCAAGGCCTGAGGGTGACGGGATTCCGACCTCAGAGACGCAGACCCCACAGGGAACTCTGTCCTCGGTCTCAAGGTCAATGCCGTCCACCCCCCCAATATATACCCAAAAGGCACCCCAACCTGAGCGAGCAGGGGAAGCCCACACCGGCAGTGCGGTGTGATCCCCTGTAGAATAAAAGCTTAATGTGCTGCCCGAACCGGTGTAGCTCAGTGGATAGAGCGTCGGCCTACAGACTCAAGGGTCCCGGGTTCGATTCCGG